AATGGGACCGTTCGATCATTGGCCACAGGTGTATTTATGTTATTTAAACTCTAGTTTTGGCTCAGGAGTAATTACTATGGGTCAACAACATTGTCAGCTGGGGGAATGGGCCATGTTCCTTGCTTCAACAGCGCCTGAGCTTTCGCACATTGCGGCTGGTGCTAATGGCTCACATGCAAAGCTTCAAAAGCCTTGGGCACAGATGGGCCAAAAGTCTCCTTTTGCACCCTCATGTACCCATACTGGTTTACATAAATCCAAGCTTTCAAAGCACAAACTCCCCTTCTTGTGGTGGACACGTGTAATGACATTTCCATACCACAAGCAAAAACATTGGAAAACTCACCACAAGGCGCAAAGTTTCACCACTTTGCATAACAGAGGGTTCAGATTTTGTCAATAAGTCCGAAACGAAATTTCACTCATCGGTCCACAATTCTGATACGCGAGCAAAACGCTTCTAAAATCCCTCACAATTGTCAGTTGCAGAAAGTTTAAAAGATGAGCACTGCTTGTTGTTGTGTTTTACCGCTTGGGAAGAGCCCAGGCACATTTTTTCCAGCATCACAAGACAACAAGCAGGAATGGTGTACAGACCCATGCTTCCTTACCGGCATTAAGGGAATTGGCGTTCAGTCCAAGTGGTGCAAATTTGGCCCTGGAATTGCAATAAGTGCACTGGGAGGGCCTCTATATGGTTGCCCCCTGCACAGAACACGACTAATGGCAGGAAGCGATACGGGAGGGAATCGGAAGGTAATGGGTAAAGCAGCTGTGACAACGAGCCGCCTTCAACACCGCGAGCTGCTGACTGTTTTCCTTCACACATTCCAAGCGGGGCAAATTCTATCTTATCCATCACTCTTCTTTCTATATTCCCGTGGTCTAAAAGGCAGGGGTCGGCAACCTGCGGCTCGAGAGACGCATGCAAGGGCTGCATCGGGACGTTATTTATTATTAAGAGCAGTCTTGTATTTACATGCATTGTGGTTCTTGAAATCGTTTTTTTTTTTACCGGATAAAAAAAAAAATGGATGTTCTTTTTATTTGGGTGCCAACCCCTCATCTAAGAGAAAGACTGAGGACCTAATGGGTCTCGGCCAATGAGAAATGAGCGGAAGCACCCAACTCGCCGTTTGTTGCCAAGCCGCGGCTATTAATGCAAAGACAAGCACCGATTAAACACACTGGTCAAGGTCACGTAAACCCTGTCCAAACGGCGTTGTGTCACCCGAGTGTCAATATTAGCTCCAGTCATTTTCAGGGCTTGAGATTTTTCGGCCGAAACCCGAACTATGCGAGTCAAACGTGACCAAGACTCAGCTCCATGACACTGCGCCACCACAGCAAACGCCAGCAAGCACGGGCACACGAGTCTCTCCACGTGAGGCAGCGGTCTGTGAGCCACAGGATGTGGGCAAACGCAAAAGACATGAGTTTGCGTGTCAGTGTCCTGTGCCAAGCCCGTCTATGATGTGGAATGAATAAGATGTAGATTCTCGAGGGCTTCCTGTACCCACGCCATTTTACCACCGGTGGCGAAGACCACCAACATCTCAATTTCCCTCCTTGAGCAAAGTGACGACACTATTGTATACTTGTCTTCCAGAGGGCCGTGCTTTATGAGTATCATATATACTGATAAAACAAAGTCCAAGTGACCTGCTTAAGTGAGCATGGGACATTCATAGCATGAGTCAGTTGGTGGAAATTGCAGTCTCCTATGGCAAGGTCCAGTCTCTTGATGGGAAAACTACTCATGACTTCCTGCAAAGTAGTACTCTGACTACCAACCCCAGGAGGCATGAAAATCAGAGTTAACCCACAACTGGGATTTGAATTTACAACTTTCATTTGCGAGTCATGCACTCTAACCACGTTTTTGCCCAGAATATGGTTTAATAATAAAATATAGCCCTTCCTCAATCCACTGATGGCTGAAGGCATCAACACCATGCTTAAATCAGTCACATGAGTTAACCATACTTTAACAGGTCACTGGGTAACAGTGCAGTGCGCTAACCACTACACCCCCCCTCCCCACCACCCAGAATGTGAGGTGCGAATTAAACTAACAGCGTCCAAGGATTTGTAAGTGATTGCAATAACAAGTCCGGCCACAGAGGCAAATCCGTAAGATCAGCTCTTAGCACAGAGCTATTATAAACCTTACTGCCCTACAACAAGCGGTCAATGAACAGAACAATGCTCAAGTCCAAGTTCTAAAGTTTAGGCCTTGGCTTTCTTTCAGATTTTAACAAACGTGCGCCGCCTGCTTGCATATGTTAACAATCGCATCACTCCCTTTCACAATAGTGGTGAAAGGGAGTGCCGATGTAAATGGCTGTGAATGTTACTGCAGAGAAAACACTCCAGGGACTCACGTTTGAAAGAATGCAAGTAAAAATTTCAGTTCGTAGTCCACTGGGACCAGTTGATAATTTGATCAGATACGGTGTTGAGAAATAATGTCTGACAGTACAGATGCCATGCACAAGTTGAGCAAAGTTTGAAAATGTGGATTGTCCCATGATCTCAGAGACCTTTCATAGTTTCAGGGACCCTATTGTAAGCCACAGGATCTGATCTAAGTGACGAACTCAATTATCTCATTTAGACAATGATTGTATGGTTAGATAACATCGAAATGCCACCAAAAATGTGGCGTCCACAATTTTCACAAGGGACTGCTCCGTCTGTAAGCTTTATTTCAGCCAGTGAATTTTTTTGGCCAGGCACTTTTCTTAAATAGTTTCCCATAACATTGGCCAACCACCACAACACGATTACCTTGTTATTCCCCAAGTATAGTTGTTGATCACAACTATTTGCACGCACTTTTAATCAATGGAATAAAATAACGGATTATGGATATAACTTTTTTCCTTGCACCATTTTCACAAACAGAAAAAAATTGCCATTATTTGTATACTACCTACTAGGAAAAATACATCATAAGAGTATTCAAAATGTTGTAAAAATAATCTGCCATGTGCAATACACAAAAATTAACGTGCGATAAAACATTTTAAAGATTTTGCTCAAATGGAAAAGTTACGTTCATGCTTGGGACAACTTACTGTACCGCAACCCGTGGTTTGTTGAACATCACTAAATAGGGCCCGAATCACCCATGCACCCTAGCCCCACCTCAGAGTGAACATCACTCACGTGTATGCAAAACAGATTGCACATTGCAATTCAGACCATATGCTCGAATGTTCTGCAGAGACAGCCAGTAGTTGTTATTGTTACGGGCCGGATACTCCGCTGCTGGGGATGACATGCAGACGTGTGGGCAACTGCACGTGATTGTTGTTGTTATTATTATTTGTGGTGTTTTCATCACATCAGGGCTGGAAAGTATCTCCCTCACACGTGACCCAGACAACACTACAAGCCACTTAACGTTCATAAAAACAACCAGATGTTTTTTTTTTATTCTCTCCGTTGGCTCAAAGTGCATTTTTATAGTGTGCATGCTGAAACAAAATAAAAATAACTATGCATCGGGCGCAATCCCCACAGTAGTGGGCACCGCGGTCGTAACGACAATATGTCCACGATGGAAAGTGCAAAAGGGAAAGATACTTTTGCTTGAATGTTACACTAACCACTTAAGGAAATGAATGAGCCGAATGACACACCCTGCCCCTCCGCCCACGTCATGCGCCATTGAATCCAATTACAGGGCTCCCAACGCCGCAGCAACAAATACAGCGGAACACCACTGCCTATTCCAGTCCACTAAAGGGCACTCCCCCGACGGCTGTGGGTACAGCTCAACTGAATTCCAAACAAATTCCCCTCTTGCGCAACCAACCTCTGAAAAACTAAACACTTTTGTTCCAACTGTAACTACACACCACACCATTAGTCACATCTTACATCTGGCTAATAGGACCAATGCGGAATGATCACCACAATCTGTGGTAGTTTATCTCTTCTTACACGAGGTTACCCACAGAGTTACATCACAAATTACGGTACTGTATTCGCAACGTGTGAAGTACACTCTCATGGGTATGTCAGTTGTGTGCTGCTTGTGGATTATTTTCTGACAAATATGTGTATATGTGCCGAGGTGTGTGCAATAACGTGCCGGGTGGTTAATATACATCATCATCCTCGCACAGCAAGAGTGCAGTCCATGCATCTGCCAGCCACCGTTTTCTGTTAACACTTAACACCGAGGCCTGTCGTACGTTGTGTGATTTCCTGCTATATGGAGCCTTAATCATTCCACATGGCCTCAGACTGCACCTAGTCTGGCACAAACTCCATGGTGAAGTAACGGTCACTTAACAGCGAATGGTGTCCATTATTTCTATTTATTTCAAACCCGGCATTTTACTTTTCATCACTTGATTAGTACAGATTGGTATTAAAATTAAGAGCAATGTAAAAATCACATCAAACTCTGCCGTATCTCAAGATGAAAATGTTTCATGATCGCTACTCATAAACACAGTACTGTAATTAGCCTCTGTGATCATATGGAGGAAATGCTTCATTACATTACAATGTTACAAAAACAAGATATACCACACCATGTATAAATTACAAAAACAATTACAATTAAATATAAATGTAGAAAATAAATGGATAGCGTAATAGTCCATTTATTTAAAAAGTCAAGTATATTCCTGTTCAACAAGCAATGGGGTTGCACTCATAACCTCTGGCAGCTCTAAACCATTCGTATCAATTCCACATTTCCATGGTTGTGCGTTAGTCTATCAGGAGAACCAACAAGGCAAATAATTCCCACAACGTGGTACTTATTTCACAGCTTAGGGGATGAGTCAACCCGTAACCTAGATTTGAACTCGGACATTGCCCCCGTGTGAGTCGAGCACCGTAAGCACAGCCAGAGTGTCACCTGGTCACAGGTATTGAACGACAAGGCCCCCGGGCGCGCCTTCTGTCCTTTGCGACGACGACATCCACGGCGAGGTGACGATGATGTGGGGAAGTGGGGGGGGGGGGGGGGTAAGTACCTGGCCGCTGAGCCATGCTGCTCGGGGTTGGAGTGCACCGGGGCGTGGTCCTCATCCCTGCGGATCTCCAGCTTCCCCAGACGCGCCAACAGCTCCTGCTGGACACACGGGGGGGGGGGGGAGGGGGCAGCCGTGAGCCAAGCTCTCACCGGGGCGAGCGCTCGCTCCACGCGTGCTGCTCGTTCACTGCACACGCTCCTCCGCGTCCAAGGCAGGCCCCATTCCACACCTGAAAGGCTAGGCACACATTCCACCCCGTGAGTCCATTACTAATGCCACTTGTAAGTGGTGCACCGACTGGTTCTTGGATCGTTAGGCTCCCCCCCCATACAAATTGCCGAAACCCACCTCACAAGAGATCCGCAAAAAAATGCACTTCCTGATGTCGATGGAAAAACCAAAACGGTAACGCGATGCTGTTTGGGTTACAAACAGCATCGTAATTTACTGCATTCTTTTTCTTCCAAAGATAATAGCTGCCAAATAAAATAAAAGTTGCCAATAAATAGCGGAAGCTCTTGCTCTTAATAGTTCAGGATAACGTGGCTCGGATTTAGGAAGTTCACTTCTTGAATGAAGTGGACAAAATCGGTTTCACTTGGTCGGTTAATGTTGGAAAAATGTGAATGCACGACACGTGCCGGACCTGAGAAACGCCACGAAAAATCCTGGCAACAACACAATCGTCTGCTTCCCCACCACAATTCAATGAGTTGTCAATACTGACAGTCACAATTGAGACTGGAGATTAGATTATAATCGAGTGCGGCATGTTTGCAGGCTTTTGTCGTACTGTTTTTCGTGTCGCAAGCCTCATTTGTACAGTCTAGTTCACTCCGTTAGCTTAAACGTAATGCAGTATCCCATTGGCACACGGGGTAAATCTCATGCATTTTAACTTATCGATTCTCAAATGCACCACCGTGAAGGCAACAATCGACTTTATTTGACGAAACTACGCGTTGTTACATGCCCAAAAAATAATCGAAGGAAGACCAAGCGCGTCTTGAATGAACACCACGTCGTGAGAATTGTATTGTTTTATTTTATTCTCATTCTACGTGACTTTACCGAAAGAACCAAAGAAGACCACGTGTTTAGTTTCGGACATTAACTTGATACTGACGACAGCACAACCGTTAACTCATCTGCAGAGCGTCACACGACCTTTGTGCCAGCAAGATCGGCAAATATTATTTGCTAACAAACACGTTAACCGTGGAGACGATGGCCAATTAAACCAGCTGAAAACTAGGCTTATGTAGAACGCTGATACTCTAATAACATTCGGTAAGCTGGTACGGCATTTTAAAATGTGATATTGCTTAAAATAAAATTTGTTCTTTGTGTCTTTTCTTTTATTTAAACACTTCGCTCAGTAATAATGATTCACTGCAAATTAAGTACAATATTCTGCATATCAAATGTCTCAACTAGTCTCCAGACAGTGGGCTTCTTGGTAGAGACGTAATTCAGAAGATTTCAGGAATTGTCTTTCAATAAATATATTAATATAACCAAATAACAGTTTATCACGTTGTGAATTAATAAACCATCTGCAAAGTAGAATCAATGCATACACCTTGAACAAGTTTTGTGATTATCGCAATGCCCACAGCACAACACACATTCTGATAAAAAAAATTCTGAGGCTAAATTATTGAAGCGCTATCAGGTCAATACAGAAATATACAGAATATGTAAAAAAAACGCATGCAACCACCCGAACATCATGCCACAAAATTCCCTCGTTATTATTTAGTGGTATCCATGACCCACTATCACTTAAGACAGTGAGAAGCACTGTGGCTAACTTGGCATGGTGTCACGCTCGTGTTTACATACAAGTACAGATTGTCAGCAACTGCCATTCCAGAGCCACGTCTAACATCTTTTAGTATATTACCATCAGGATGCTGGGTGTAAGGAAGACTGCAGCTGTAAACAGCTTGTGCCGTTTATTGATGGAGCACTTTAAACACATGCTGGCAATGAATCGCTGCAAACGTTTCACTATTTGTTTTGGCAATGTCATTTCGAAGGCTGCATGACCAAAAGCCTACAATATTATTTCATTGCCTGGCGCCCAGTACACAGCCTGACCACACATTGCACAAAGACAAATTGCCTACACAAAGCACAATGATGTGAAGGGCATTAGGGACAATTGTTAAAGCTTCCCCCCCACTCCCCCGTTGCAGAAAGAACATGGGGTTCTGCACTGCTGACGAAACATTTACGCAGTTGCTCAATATCCCCACTAGGGGGTATGAAAGGACCGACTGAGAGCGAGCGTGTACGGCGACCGCAGAGGATTTTCGACATTGCGCTGCACTGGCTCTCTCCCCCTTACGTTAGGCGCGGTGTGTCCAACGTTTTGCCCCACGACCTGCGACATTCTCCAAGATTGGTAACAAGCCGAAAACACGTCAGAGGGATACGCAACAGGCGCACTCGTGCTGTAAAAGACGCTAAAATACTACGGCAAAAATCTCTATCTATCGGAGCTTTGCCGAGTCTCATCCAACTCCGATGCAAGGTATGTTTTTGCACGTGGGGAAAAAGAAAAAAACACTGGCGTACTGAGAAAACCCACACACACACACACACAAATACGAGGGTTAGATTCGGAGGTCTGAATATACTGGGCCCATTACCAAATCGATCTCTGCGCTGTCACCTCATGACCACTCGCAGACCAGGTTTGTGTTCCAAAATTCGACGCGAACCCGCCAACCCTTTGCCCCTGAAGTGCTGCGCATTATTGGCGTGCCCCACCACAACGCCCAGCTCAAAGCGTGCGCATGTAATACACTCGGGGGAGGGCTCCTCTATTCCTTCGTTGACGTAGGGCAGCTCAGCCGACCTTCACACCGGCTAACGTGGAGGAGGTGGGCCCCCATGCCCTCCGTAATAGAAGAATGTGCATAATTGCCGGTGATTTTCCGTGCGGCTTTTGGGCCACGAGACCAACTCACAGAGCGCCACCGGGGCCGGTCGGCAAATGCGGCGTCCTCACCGAAAGCGGGGGTGGGGAGGGGTGGGGAGGGGTGGGGAGGGGTGGAAGCAGTGATTCGATTAGGTCCTGGGTGCACGTCATTACCCCAGGATTAACTCGAGTGGGGGGCTTTGGGAGAGGGGGGTGGGGGGTGGTTGGTTCACTGCGTGGGTCACTGCCTTTGAAATTGGAGGGAGCGTACAATAAACGCCGAGGGCCACCCCCGGCCACACGTGTCACCCACTCCACAGAATCTGTATCTTTATCCGAATCATTATCTTTCTTAGAAAAATCCAATGATCTCCGACGCTCCATTTTCACGGATGTCCAGTAGTTTCACAGGTGTCCATGGCGCACCCTCCAATCAGCACGGTTGGCTACGTACCGTGCGAGAGAAGTTCAACAACACGTAAATACATTACATACGGGGGGATGTAAGGATCATGCTGGGGAGGGGGGCATGAAGACTCACCTTGCAGGACACCTCCGAGGTAGGCGAAGAGCGCGAGCGAACGTGCACGTGCCTCCTCCCGTCAGCCTTCCAGCTCGTCAGATTTTCGCTGGACACAAACTTTTCAGAATTTCGTGGGGGCAGCATCTCCAGGGACATCTGCTGCTGCTGCTGGTGGTGCAGGTGCGCCTGCTGTGACCACGATGGCTGCTGCAAGTGCTGGCGCTCCCTGCCACGGGCGCCCGTCGCCGTCTGATGATCGGAGTTGCCGAAGCCGTCGTCGTTTATATTCAAGTCGGAGCCGTAAGGTCGCTGCTGCTCCAGCCCCTGGGCACGGCCAGCGGCTGCGGGCTTCCTCTCAGAGCCGGCGTGTTGCTGATACGCAGGGGCGCTCAAGTCGGAATACGCGGCCATCGGTCTGACGTCCTCTCCGTGGGGCCTCCATAGGCATTGCTGCTCCGACGAGGAGCTCAGGCTGGAAGAGGATGACGAGGAGTGGCGACGGGCTTCCATTTTTGCCAAGCACAGCTCGGGATGACCGTACCAACCGTAGCCATCTTTCAGCGCATCGTGCCGTTCGGATTTAGCGTTCGAAGAATTTGAGACCAGCTGCTGCTGCTGCTGTTTTGCCTGTGCCCTTTGCAGGAGAGACATCTTGCTGCCGTCCTTCTCGAAGAATTTCCGTCTGTCTGCGACAGAGCCGCGGTCACCATTGCTGTTGCCGCAAAGAGCCGCGCTGCCCTCCGGGTAGGCAAACGCGCCATCGCGCAACTTGCTTCCAAAGGCCGGGGAAGTGTCACTCTCCGAACCCACACCCACCTCGTTCATCTTCTCCGGCTCCGAATACGACCTCTTCTTCTGCTGGTCCGTCAGCCGCTTGCGACCACATATGCGGGGAATGTGGTGCGCTGGCAGGCTCTCTGTGCTCTGGAAAGCACTGTCCAGTTGGCTCCGAGTGAGCGGCGGGTTGCTCAGAGAGCTCGACCTGCTGTGATTGCCCTCCGAGTTCTCAAGCGTCCGCGACTTCAGGCTCGAGTCGAACGGCAGTCGGATTTCCAGGTCCCGGCGGCGGAAGGACGTCGCTCTGAGAACCTTGGTCTGCGCCTCCTTCACGTGCTCCTTGTAGGCCTCGCCGTACGCAGCATCCAGCGGGGAGTTGAGCTCATCCTTGGCGGACTCTCCTTTCCACTGGCCCGTTAGCGACTCCGTGGCTTCATTCTCTTCCTCCTCCTCCTCTTCCACGAGCTGAGAGGAGCTCTTGCTCTTCTGCAGCTGGGCACGTTTCATCTGGATCTCGTTACGCAGTGTGGTCGCGAAGCGGTCGCTGCGCCGTACCTGCTTGCCGGGATCACCGGCGGTCGCCGCCGCCGCCGCCCTACTGCCGCCCTCCGCCGCACCGAGCACCGTCAGGTGATGCAGCATAGGCGTGCGCTCAGCGCTAATCACGTTGCGCGTGCCCAACCGGTCCGCCACGCCGCCGCCGCCGCCGTTGCGAGGGTCCTCTGCAAAGCCGTAGAAGCCGCCACCCCCCCTATCGAAGTCGGCGTGCGCCGACTGCCGGCCGTCGAAGCTGGAGCCGCTCTCGGCCGAGCCACCGCTCAACTGCCTCCTGCCGCCGCCGCCGCTGCTGCTGGGGGGGCGGCCGTCCGTCGGCGGGAAGCTCGTGGGTTTCAGGTCGACGCGCGCGGCGATGCTGCCCTGCGAGCTGTGGCTGCTGCTGCTGCTGCTGCTGCTGCCACTGCTGTTGTAGCGCTTCCGGCTGGCCGAGTCCGGTCTCCGGATCTGGTCCGCATAAGCGTAGGCCGCCGGCTGGACGGCCTCGTCGTGCCACTGCCTGTACTCCCCCTTGGGCGGTGGGCACGGGGCCACCTCCACCTGCGTTGGGTGGTTCATGGAGATGCAGTAGTACCTCGCCGCCGCAGCACATGGCTGGTTTAGCTCCAGCATGCTGGCCGACTTAAACGGCTGCCCTCGGAGCGAACCGACGTTGGACTCCGCCGCCCCATCTTGATTTTGATACGAGCTCGGCGGGCCCAGGCTCTGCCTCCCGCCGCTACTGTAGGATCTCGGGGGCGGGCTTTGGCCGAAGCCACCATCCTCGCAGTGCCTGCCATGCTGAGGCTTCAGGCTCTCGGCTGTCGCAGGAGGCTGACTGTAATAAACGTCGGAGCACTGCTTTCCCACGGCCGAATAGCCATAACCGCCGGCGCCTCCGGACACCGACAGCGCGTAGCGAGGATCTTGTTGCTGCTGCTGCGCCGCGTAGACGCCTGTGGGGGCGAGGGGCTGCCCGGGGTAGGCCTGTGCTGGCTGCGGGGACGGCACCGGCTTGCGTGGGACCACGGGGCTGACCTCGGGGCTGCGCTCTGGCACCGTGTTGAGCGGGTGCGGCTCCGACAGCGCCAGGAGGTTCGAGGCCGAGCTGCCACGTGGCGGAGGCCGGGGGGTGGGCGCCGCGGCGTTGGGGGGCCCCGGCGCGGCCGCCGCGACCGCCGGCGGGAGGTAGCCGTCGGGGCCCGACCACGACGGCGACTTCTCGTGGTTGCGCGTGGCGATGAAGCTGACGCTGCGGACGGGCGGCGGCGGCGGCGTCCCTACCGGCGAGGAGACCACGCTGTCCACGCTCACGGCCGCCTTCATCGGTGGCTGCCACAGCTGCCCGCCGCTCCGCCGACTCGACTCCGAGCACCTCCTGTACGACGGCTGCTGCCCCTGGTGGCTGTCGCCGGCCTCCTTGCCGAGCGTCTCGTCACAGCCCGAGTGGAGGCGCTCCTTGCCGTACCTGCTGGGGTAATCGAGGCTGTTTGCCTGCTTGATGTTGTGCATCGAGCAGTCCTTGTTGCTGTAATGGTCCGCCCTCTTGAGGCTCTCCGTGTTTCTGTACCCAAGCTCGGAGGCGTAAATGTCGCGGGACTTGCCCTCGCCCGGCTCGTCCTTGCCGTAGTAGTTCTTCATGGCGCTGTTGGTCAGGTTCTCCCTGATCTCGTACCGGGCCCTGGCCGAGCCTGCTCCACAGATGTCGCGGCTCCCGTTCTCGTACGTGGCGGCGGCGGCGACACCGGTCGCGGATCCACGCGCCTCCCCATTCCTCGGCACCTCACCGTCGCTGCGCCGTGATGCCAGTGTCTCCGGCTCCTCGCGGGCACTGCCCGCCTCTCCGTAAACAGTCCGCACAAAGCGCAGGTCAGCCGGTGGTGACAAGTTCCCGCCACCACCGCCACCGGAACCATCCCAGCAGCCCACCACAGGGGCGGCCGCCACATTCTCCGCCGATCCCGAGCGGTCGCTCACGGAGAAGGAGCTGTAGGCCGAGTCGCGCTTGCTGTCCACGCTGCTGGACGACTTGACGTGCTGATGGTGCTGCTGTTGCTGCTGCTGCTGCTGCTGTACGTGGGGATAGAAGCCGTGGTGCTGCCCTGAAGTGGGGTGCAGCAGCCCGTCGCTGCCGTGGGGCGGGTGATGCTGGTTGTGGTGCGGATGGTGCGGGTGGAGGTGCTGGTGGTGCTGGCTCGGCTGCGTGGGGTGGTCGAGGCTATCCATGCTGCCCCGGGAGCTGTACTGGTCCGGGCTGAGGTGGTGCCCATATCCCGCCATGTCGTACGATCCGGAGAGGTCACTGGTAGAGGAGCTACTGCGATACAGTCACACGGCAGCAACTAAGTTAGCGCAAACGATACAAATCTAACGGTTAGTTTCATATATATAGCGGCATGTCATGCAAATTGCATCTCACAATCACCGAGGAGCCGCAGACAAACTAGGGAGGCTGCCAGGCGGTGAGCCGGTGCCAACAATGGCTCTGCAGTTCTCTAAATATTAAGATGCTTTCAGCCAAATAGTGAATGCTTACACATTTGAGAAGAACCTGAAGCTGCCCGAAAAAAAAACCCCACGCATGCGAGGGGGCAACACTCTATCCCACGCAGAAGAGAAAGTTGATGTCAAGTCCCCACTATTCGCTGCACTGCATTCTGCTGGCGAGCCAGGGTTACGGGGCACCTCGATACCCATGGGAAGGGAGTCTCTCGACATTTTCTCCAACCCACCGACCCTCGCGCCTCCAGTGCTGGAATACGGGCCACATGCAAGCACGGCCACCAACCGCCCTGCAAGGATGTGCGAACCACGACTGGAAGGCCGCGGACTTGGGCAGCGGCATAGACACAGAGAAATGGAAGGTTGCAAGTTCAAACCTAGCTGAATTAGTCGAAGCCCAGGTTATTTTATGAGGTCAATAAAATTTGTACTATTCTGTACAGTCAACCGTTACCATGTCATGGGTAGATTTATCTCGCGAATTCGAAACGTGGAATTTCGAACCACTGACTCAGGGCCACTTGGCGCAGACGTTAAGGCCGTAAGGTAGCTCTCGTTTGAGCAGGGCGACACCTTTTCACGTAAGAAAAGCCCTCACACCATGGTTGAGCTGAATTTGGCAATATATAATTACGTGTCAGTAGGCGACCAGTAGATGGCAGTCCATCAAGTGGGTTGGTGAACCTTTCTGTACAGTACTTTTACTTACGGGGCTTCTCAACGTATGACTCCCATATGTCAAATAAAAGTAACGATTTGGCCAAACATTGTACTGCATGACCATCTCGAAAAGGGCCTCGACACCCACTGAGGCTCTCCTGTATACACGAGGCTATTAGCACAGTGTAAGGTTAAACCAACCTAAAATAATCCTTTAATGGCTTAGGATACGTGACACTAATCCGGCTCAATATGGTGCAAGGAAGAGAGCCTAAAACTCGACACAATTCAAATTTCCCTTGCTCAACCATCACCAATCTGCAGTGCCTAAGAATAGCTTTGGGTTTCAACTACAGAATGCGTTGACCGCATATCAGTGGTCAATCCAACGTCACTCTGTAGAAAGGCCAATCGTTACTGCAGAGGCCGGGTGAGATTTTATTTATTTTGAACCCCTGTGAGCGAGCATAGGCCTAACGGCACACTCTGTGGGGTGCTGCGGCATTGTTTAACAAACCGCAATTGTAAATACTGCGCCGGAAACCACAGTGTTAAATGAGGCCACAGACTCATAGGGACATTACATACAAGGAGCACGAGTTTAAAAAAAATTAATGGTGCTAAATTGAGGTCAGTTTGTTGAAATTAGGTCGATTAATTATTTTTATTTGTTTCCAAGTGCTCTTGTACATTTGGACTACAGAAATGAGTGAATGCCTTTAAATTATCCAAAAAACATTTTCGCGAAGCGATCCGCACTCTACGGAAGTAAGAACCACCCCAGTTGAATGCTACGACAGTGAAATCAACATCGACATACATATATACACACATGCGTGGTAGTCTACACGATAACATCCAAATGCATATGCTGTATAATACTGGTCTGGTAGATTGGGAGTACTTCGTGTGGTAGACATGGTGTACCTGCTGCGGTAGTGGAGCAATGCCTGGTGCCGTAGGCGAGCGGCACACTGCGTACCTGGTGTGGTAGGTCGGGTGCCAGGCGGTGCTGGCGCTGCCCTGGGAGATGCGCATCATGCCCGTCGCCTCTTCGTCCTCCTCGTGTTTGGTCGAGTGCCACGAGTGGGGGCGGCTCACTGGGTCACTCCTCCTGGAACACGCGGGGGGAGGCGCAAAACGAGGGGGCGTCAACGTGGGACCCACGGTCACATGTGCACGCCATCGCCACCTCCCCGTCAACATCATCATCAGGCACCTTCCTACAAATCGACTTGCATCTCATTCTAAAATTGCTCTCAATTAAAATTCCTTATGCCCATTTATCACCGTGCTGTGATACTAATGGCAAAACCAGTCAGACAGCACTGTTGGTCAAATGCTTTATAGTACTTACAATCAGAAATGTTAAGTGCTGGTCAGGGGTCACCGTAATCATCAACAGCCGCTCTCTATCCACTGCTGCGTGAAGGCCTCCCCACACAGCCACCATCCCATCATGGACCAGCGTTGTGACTCATCCATCTCACTCCCGAACGTGAACTTAGAAGCCTTCTCTCCATCGGCCGCCACTCCCCGTGAGCAGTATCATCCATCGTGCTGCCCAAGCCACATTGCTTACCAACTCCAGTGCTCATGAAAACGAGTTATCGTTTCTTGGCATCGCGAGTCATATTTACAAGTGTTACAAGTCACACCGTGTTGCCAACCTTAACCACATATAATGTTAGCCACACTGGCACACTGTGAAAACTAAACTAAAACTACCAGTTAAGGCCCACGAGGCTGTGCGGATAATTTTCAGAGGCGACCTGGCCGCAACTGATAGTTCAACGAAGAGGCTTTTTCGGTGGACATTTATAGCAGCCAAATACTCTAAATGCACGTTTCTAAATGTGAAAGGAAAAATCCAGATAACAGGTAGAAAAATCCACGCGACTACGGGGAGAACATGCAAACTCCAAATATACAGGCATCAGGGTCAGGATCGAACCCACGACCTCCTGTATACCAGGCGCCCCATACTTGGTCTGAAGCATGACACAATGTCATGCTTCAGACCCAGTAGTCAACGTGCACAGCTCAGCCCATTTCACTGTCAAGTTCAGCAACTCATTCGAGCAGTGACACAAAGCTACCGTCATTCACATATCAAAACAGGTTTATGCCCGTTTATATTTTTCAGATCCGTGATAGTGATGAAGTAAACACTGAATTTACGGTAAGACAGCCAATGCGGGGAAGAAATGAAAAGATCGAATCGAGAAACGTTTCATGAGGGCGCGAAACGATTTAGCAATTTCCCGGAAGTGGCAAATCAACAGAGGGGTTTGTAAAGCGCAAATCAACGTGCAGACAGCGGACGGCTCGGATGTCGTGCCGCACTTTGCGACTCGCTTTACGAGCATGCGGCAATGGATTAAAAGATGCCGATGATAAAGCCAATCATTTTGCCACATCTACAACGTACAGGGTTGTTGCTGTGGTTATAATTCTTTACCGGTCTCCCTCGGAAGACGGACTTTTGTGTTTCATTGGGCTATCGCGTGGTTACCGAGTTATTAATTGACACTGAGGAGGCCGTGAGTTGAAAAGCCCGATGAGGTGTTTGACCTTGTCCATCACTCTCCGAGGTTGATCAAATCATTACTACTTTGTTGGAGGTCAAAAGTGAATGCTTTATTGCATTAAAAGCATAACATTAAAATAACTAGAGCACAGTAAATATATTACAGTGATTATTTGTATGTATCCACGTGAATATCACAAAGCATGGATTTAATATGAGGGTACATTGTATTTAAAACAGCAACGTTCTAAGAGACCAGTGTTGTTTGTGGACTGTCTGGTATAATTCAGTAGTTTTAGATTTAAAATTGTGTGTCGCACGTGCATCGATACAAAAAAATCTGATGATGAAGACAAATGTTTGTCTGGCAGGGCGGTGTTTGCCTGCAAGCAGGAGCTTTGAGCAGAGATCATATGTGCAAGACACCTTTCTGACCTGCCCCAACTAGATCTATGAAAAAGAGCTTCATGGCTCATCGGATTTCTCCAAATAAAGATAAATTAAGATTCTGATTCTAAGACTGAGCAGTTGCCAGAAGCTAGCAGTACGTGTCACCGAACTATGGCTTCATGCAGAGATTCTCTAGGGATTTCAGATTCCTCCCGAACGGAAGAATACCCAGTCACAACATGACCAAGCATATATAGCAGACATCAAAATGGTTATGATATTCGTTGAGGCGTTTTTAAGGTCAATAAGCTAAATGTATTTACCTGCCAAGAACAAAATTTGACACTTTGAAGTGCAGAACTGAAACTTTAAAAAAACATTACTCGTAGATCTATATTAGTAATATTTGGTGGAGTCTGCCGCATGTTTTTTTTGTCTTCTATATTTGCCAACCAAGTGTAGGTTAATGGAGTGAACACAAGGGCTGTTCTGTAACGTGCAACACCCACCAACTATCGTCAAGAACAAAACCAAATGTGCCATACGTCACACACGACCAATATTGGTGACATTTATTCTTTTGGGGGCGGGGGGGGGGGCACATCGGTTTAGTGAAATATTGGGCCAGGTCAGTAACATGGCCAGATCCACCCGTCGCAAATGAAGGCCATTCAAATGAGCGGAACTCGATGCGCGCTTCACAAATAAGTAAATAATGGTACCAAAACACGAGACACCATACACAGGTGTGAACGAGACGTTTTTTTGGTTGGAAAAAAATTGAACAAAAAAGTTTCTATTGTAAATAAGAGAGCAAGCGCCAAGCCTTGTTTTGGCATTCTTCGCGTCCATAAACATGGTGGAAAAATGCACAGGAAAAAATGCCCTCGCGAAAATTACGACGCTGGAATGGACACTCACAATCGGTGTTAAATGCCTCCTCTCTCAGTTTTAGGCCACCCCTAACTTCCAGCAGTAAAACCATCTCATCCTCTGAGAAACTTGCACAAAATAAACCAAATAGAACGTTCAATATCCGCCGGAAAAAAAATCCCTTGTGCGTGCCATTAAGCAATTAAGAGTGAATTTCCGTACCGTGGAATTTTACAGCATGTAGTGGATTTCCGAAGACCGTTCAGAGGGAGACACTTTGTGAAGAAACTTTGTTACACGAGCGAATGATCTTGTCGAGTTCAAATAAATAAATACATTTTTGCCAATTATAATTACAATAAGTCTCCAGATCGGGGGTCGTGGTCTTATTAAATGACCAACGTTTTGATACTCACATACATGCAAATTCCAGGTTTTAGATAAGGGCATCATCTCTTGACGATGATGAAATTAATCCCACTTTGAGGGACGTCAACGGGGCTAACTTACGTGGAATGTCCTAACAATGTGGAACTCTCACCTCTGGCTCAGGCCCCCCCCCCCCCAATGGAGAGGAAGATGAGTTTTGTCCCATTACTTGTTTCAGCCATGGGTATCCCCTTTGACCATTTTAACCAACTCACAAGTAAACGTCAGGTAAGCCACTACACGTGCCGCTCTTGTTCATCGCCCAGGCTACACTTGCTGTATTAGCGTCTGCGGTTAGGTTCATCGCGTCCACCGAGATATCGTATAATACAACGCAAGCGTCGAGAGAGCGAGCCGCCCCCCACCAAGCTACGGGGGGACAAGGCTGAGTTAACGCCGCCGTCTCCAACGTGCTGGCACTCTGTGATGCGGTGCCGACAACAAAGCAACGAGGTCGGGGCTTGATCTTTCCCGCAGGCGCAATCGCTTTGCTTACGACCAACGAGTGCCGTGCCCGACAGCCCGGGTTGGTTTTCAATGCGGCGTTCACGAACACATTAAACAACTTTCTTTGAGCACTAAAAGCATTCGTTCATGTCACACGTTCAAGCGGTGCGGAGGGAGGACACGTCGGGGAGCGCTTCGGCCGAACACAGGAGCGGCGCAGCGCTACCACAAAAATCAACAATCTCGTCCGTCTTCAAAGACATGCGACGTTAGCCGCTCTAAGGATTGCATCAGGCATTAGCAGGCAACAGCGAGCGAGGGAGGAAATTACGCAGCGGCACTAAAGAACCAGGGGGAACTGCGGAGAGACAACGATCACAAGCAAAGGCACGCAAGAACCAAAACAAGAAGCAGAGATGAAAACGCAACGAAAGCAACGTCCGAAACGTACTACATTCACTACGGTGCTCGCAGAGTCGGAAGGGACGAGCAGAGGATACAACTACTGGGCTGGCCCCCACGGACGACTACCGCTGCGGGGCTTGATCGGTAGACGCGGGCGAGCGATTCTGGGCGCAGGACAAGCGAGGAGCAGAATTACCTCATGGACTTTCTCAGGATCTTAGAGAGAAATCGCCGCGCCGACCCAACCGCCCTGTCGCACGGAGGCTCGCCGGGCTTCGAGAGAACGTCCACCATCTCGCCTCCCAGAGCTCTGGGTGCCCGGGGGCCAGCAGTGCAAAGAGCCGAGCGGAGGCGAGCAAGGAGAAATAGAAAGAGGAGGGTCTGAGGCAGACAGGAGAAAAAAGCCCCCCTCTGGCCACTTCCATCCCAACCACCACTCCACTTTCCCACCCCCTTTCTCGGTACCCCCCCCCCCCTGCTCCCTATCCACCTCCCTCTTTCCCCTCCACTTGCTGTGTCCCACCCCTTACAAGCCCCCGCCTACTCCATTTCCCCTACCTCATCCTCCTCACCCTGCTCTGAACCAAAGGTTTAAACGTGTCTTCCAACTCAAACGAGCGTGGGGTGGTGCTCTTCTTTGTTGGAATCCCCGAGCCAGTGGTGGCAGTTCCACATTCCCATGGTGGGAGAAAATCTCTCCAGGGGCCAACCTGCTGTTGGACTTCCAACCAAGCGACGTTCACTTTATCTGCCCCGGAAAGGATGTCAGGCCAAAGCCGACTTTCCGACTGAGATTTTCACTCGCGGTCATTCGATCGCGAAAAATCAAGGGCCCTGACTGGAGCACTGCCCAGTCGGCTGGCGTACACCTAACCGGACAAATACCGGGACGCTTCCTCGCACTCGGAGAGTCGCAGAGGCAAACCTTGACGCACGCACGCAGCGGGTGTACGTCGGCGGAAATGCGTGTGGTTCTATTGAAATTACGCTGCATTTGGAGTGAATCCCCAAGACGATGTTTGGGGTTGGTTTTTTTTATG